TCCCCATTTCATAGACATACCTAATCGTTCAGCCTGTCCACCCATCTATCCACCCATATACCCATGTTTGCCTTCACTGACAACGCAGTACTATATGTGCAAAAGGGTTCATATTTGTTGTCTGTACCTCCCATGTACCTCTCTATGTCTTTGTCATCCTCAATGCTGCCATATGGTATTCATATTTTCATGTTCTGTTTTTCATACATGTTTATAGAATCCATTCATTCATTCATTCACTTAACAAATATCTATTGAGCCCTTGCTCTGTGCCTAGCCCTATTAAGTACAGGGGATGCAATGGTGACAAGGCAGCCATGTGTATCACCTTCTGAGCCCATGGTCCAGAAGGTCCAATCATGTATGCAGATACTTCATCAAACATGATGGCAGGCTGGCCATACCATCACACAGGAGCTTCAAAAATGCCTTCATTAGCCAATGTATGAGTTCAGATTCTATATGAAAGGTCATCAAGGGGTGTTTGTGTATTAAAAAAAAATTATAGATTGCTCTGGAACATCTTCCTATGACTGTCGAGAGCTGTCCTTATTGTTTCGGGGTTCTTCGTGGGGTTCCCTGTGCACCTCCAGCAGGTGGGCATCCCTTCTTAGGACACTTTCCTTTGTCTCCGCAGGCCTCCTACCCTGACCAGCAGTCCTGTCATCTCCGACATCTCCTTGATCCGACTTTCCCCACACCCTGCTGGCCCTGGGGAGTCCCCCTTCAGTGCCCCCCACCCGTATGTGAACCCTCACATGGAGCACTACCTCCGTTCTGTGCACAGCAGCCCCACACTCTCCATGATCTCTGCTGCCCGGGGTCTCAGCCCCGGTGACGGTGAGTGGGGCCTGGGCCAAGAGGACAGCCAGGGGACAATGGGGAGCAGATGGGAGGCCCAAGGGCTCTATCAGAAGAGTGTCCAACCCACCACCTCTGAACATCAGATTTTGCAGTAAATGAATGAAGAAAGCTGGGAGACTTTGGGTTCCACTGGTTTTTTGTGCTTTTTTGCATGCAATCCACATGTGATTTGCCATAATAATAATGGTAGGATGCTACCTGTTTATTCGGATAAGTTCTATCTTAAGTGAGAACCAATTGGTTGCAATAAACCCAAGTCTGCAGAAGCTGGTGTTAAAGGGTATCATATAGTAGTGTTTCATGGATTCCTAGAGCAGATGGAAGGCAGAGTTGATTTGGTCACACCTGTGAGCTGGGAGGGGACAGATCTGGAAGGAGAAGGATGTTAGCCATAAGACCTGGCTTCTTTCTGTCTCTCTCTCTTTGAGCTATGTGGACCCCACTCTGGCTTCCTGCTTTTTGCTCCCCTTGCATGTCAACATAGATGGCCAGACTCCAAGCTTTCAAGGATGAACATCAGTGGCTCTTTGTTCCCAGTTTAGATGCTTGAGAGAGAGAGAGAACTGATTGGCCAGCTCAGAGATGAGATGGCCACCACCGGCCAAATAATTTGAGTCAGTGAGGAGCAAGGTCCTTTGATATAAATATGGATTTGAATCTGAAGTGTTCTACTTCTAGTCCCTAGCCCCACTCCAAGATATACACACACCTGCACACACATGCTTACTGGACAGTGTGAGCATGGTTGAGAGCCTGTGCAGCCATGCTGTCTTGGGAAGCATGCTCTCAACCCCACAATCGAGAAGGCATTATCTGCTGTTCTGTGCTGCCCTCCAAGTTTTTATCAGCTCTCACCATTCGCATCCTACAAACCAACCAAGCTGCACCTTCCCAAAATATGCCCAGCTGTAGCCTCCCCTTTCAGCCAAGTTAGTTGCTGGCTGGAGTACTTTCATAAGGTGCATTTGGGACCCCCATGGGCCAGAGGCTCTGAGAAGCATGGTCCTAGGGGCTCCTTCATCCCCAACTCTGTTCTTACCAGGTGATTGCAGACCTTTTACCAGCAGGTCTGTCCCCTCCCAGCTCACAGATATGACTCTATGCTGAATTAAAGGCCTGACACTGATAAGGTATGGGCTGCAGTTTCACAGAGAAAAGAAGGTTTACAGTCTCTAAAGGCAGCAAAAGTTTCCCTAAGCTAGTGCCTCATTGTCCTGGCCTGAGGTTTACTTAGCATGGTTCTCACAAAGAAACCAGACAATGGTCACAGCCACAGGGTCCTAAATGCTGGTTCGGGATATGGTTGCATTCTCAGATGGCCTGTGGGGTTGGGGCTCAGCTATGTGTTCTGAGTGGATCCTGTGAATGGCCTTGGCAGACCCATAGTGTCCATGGAAGAGATGTGTTACCTGGCACCAAGTACCAACCTGGCAGGGAGTCACCATCTTGTGGAAAGTGAACCAGAGCTTTCCCAGGCCACTCAAGATAACCTAGCTGGCAAAAGACTTACCTGAACAAAGTGTGGGAGATAAAAGTTAAGATAATGCTCAGGTGCTGAAGTTTACACCTGGTGCCATGAGCTGAATGGTGGTCCTCAAAAGATGTCCACCTCTTAAACCTTGGAAACTTTATATTTGGAGGGAGGGTCTTTGCAGAAATAATTAAGGTAAACTCTTGAGATAAAGAGAGTACCCTAATTATTGCAGGTGGGCTTTCAATCCACTGATAAGTGTCCTTATAAGAGACATACAGAGAAGGCACACTCAGAAAAGAAGACCATATGAAGGCAGGGGCAGAGGTTGGAGTGATATGGCCACAAGCCAAGGAAGCTGGTGGCCACCAGAAGCTAATAGAGGCAGAAACATTTTCCCCTAGAGCCTCTAGCCCTGCCAACACCTGATTTCAGATTCCTGGCCTCCAGGACTTTGAGAGAATAAAAATCTGTTGATTCAAACCACCACATTTGTCACAATTTGTTACAGCAGCAATAAGAAACTAATACATATGGTAACAAAGTTACTTGGGAAGAAAAAGAACCCAAGAGTTTTTGGGCCCTGGGCCAGAGCAGAGTGAGAAGTAGGAAGAATAAGAGAGAGTACCCACCTGGAGACATTTATAAATCAGGTCACATCTCAGCTGACTTCGGTGCAGTTCATAATGAGCTGGGTGGAGAGCTGGGCTGCCCTTAAAGTACTTGTTGTTATTATCATGGAGCCAGTTTCTGCCAGGGTTTCAAACCAGTTCATTCCAGCTTGACCCCTCCTGAGACTTTGCATTTCCATTCCAGATATACTGAATCAGAATTTACATTTTAACAAGATCCCAAGATATATACATAAGAATCACCTACTGAAGAAAAAATCAAAACTCATTGCATTCAAATGGATTCTGACTCATAGCAACCCCCATTAGATTTCGAAGGCAGTAAATCTTTAGGAAAGTAGATTGCCCATCTTCTTTTCACAGAATCACCTATAGATCTTATTAAACCGTAGGTTCTGATTCAGTATATCTGGGGTGGACATGCAATTTCTCAGCAGAACGTCAAACCAGAACGAACTGGTTCAAGGCCCTGATCCTTCCCAGTGACCCCATATGTCAGATAGAACTGCTCTTAATAGACTTTCAAGACTGTGACCTTTCGGAAGCAGATCATCAGGCCTGTCTTCCAAGGTGCCTCTGGATGGGTTTGACCCACCAGCCTTTCAACTAGTAGACAAGCACTTAACTGTTTATGCCACCCAGAGACCCCACCTTTGAAGGATAGACTTTTGATATATGGTGCTCCAATTTTGTGCCTGGTTTCAGTGCAATCATTGATGTAGCTCTTATCTCCTACACTTTCCCCATGAGACAAACAGTGATGGGTCTAGTCATCAGAGGCGACTAGGCTATTTGCAACCTCTTTAGGGGGCAGACCAATCCCTGAGGCCTTGCTGGCCCTAGACCAAGTGAACAAGTAACGAAAGGCAGCATATCAAGCTCCAACATCTTCTGCCAGGTCGTCTTGGGTGCACATACTGTGCTAGCCCCTTCCACATGAGCTTGAAAGGTGATAAGCAACTGAGGCAATATCTTTTAGCCCGTTTATGTTCTAGGGGCAAAGGGAGTGCTCCAAGGAAGGCATCAGAGAGGAGGAGGACTAGGCAGGAAGAGAGAAGGCAAGAGCACAGTGATGGACCTTGGACAGGGCAGCCAAGCAGAGGCCTGAGTGATGAGCATGGCTGGAGGCCAGGGTGCCCGCTCAGGCACAGCAGGAGATGGCAATGAAAAAGAGGAGGGGACAGGCTTTCTGGTATCTTCTCTGTGCTGAGCACATAAGAGATCCCATTTGGTATTTGCCAAGACTAACAGAACAGAGATCTAGTTAGGAACTTTGGTTCTAGATTCAAACTTCAAGTCCCAACTCTATCACTAGGCTATATGACCATGGTGTTAGATTCCACATCCACTAAACAGGGACAACAATGATCGCTATTGCCTCTTAGTGTTGTGTTGTGTAGATGTGATTCCACTGGTTCCATGTAGACACTCACCAGCAAGTATTCAGTACATTAGCTGCTACTATCATTATTCAAAGTAATTTCGGTAGTGAGTATTTATTATCCCCATTTTACAGCCAGCTCAGAAAGGTATCCCCCTCCTAATTTTGTATACCTGGTGAAAACCAGGTCTCCAATGGGTATGTCTGCTTTTCAACCTCCAGTTGCTTCCCCAACACCATACTACCTGAGGGCAGGCCCCACATGTTAATCGAAATTTCATCCTCAACTCTTTTCCTAAGCCCTGGGCAGCATTGAGGCAGACAGCCTGAGGTTCTGCAGCTGCCAGGACAGGAAACAGCATGGGCTTTGGCAGTCAGGGGTCTTTCCCAGCCAGACCTGGGAGCTCTTGGTTGATGTCTCCCAGTGAATGGTCAGGCTAAGCCTAACCTGGAGCCATAGCCTGGCCACCAGGATACTGCCATTTGAGTCTCCTCTTTCTTACAAAGAAAGACTCTGACAGGCTATAACACTGCCCACCTACAGCACTGGGCTTCCAAGGAGCCCAAGGGGGCAGAGATAGGATTTTTCATGGATTTTAGGAAATGGAGGAATAAGAGGCCTGGCTCTGGTCTCCCTCATTAGCAGAAACGCACCCTCCCCCACTAGCCAAGCAGAGTCCAGTGTAGTGAGATGCCTGGACGGGGGCAGTGGGGGAACCCAGAGACCCTGGAGGTGGGAGATAGGCAAGAGGACCCTGGGGAGAGACTCTTGGCCAGGTGTATGTTGCTCGTCTTTATTGGGGGAAGATGAGGCCATTGCCTGATTCTGACCACTTCTTCTCTCTCTTACCTGCAGTGGCACACGAGCACCTTAAGGAGAGGGGATTGTTTGGCCTGCCCCCAGCAGGCACCAACCCTTCTGACTATTACCACCAGATGGCTCTCATGGCAGGCCACCCCACACCCTATGGGGACCTGCTAATGCAGAGTGGGGGAGCCACAGGTGCACCTCATCTCCATGACTACCTCACCCCGGTGGACGGTGAGTGCTGGGCTGGGGGATCTAACTGGGTAGAGCTCCAGTAGGGAAAGGGCAGGGAGTGGGACAGAAGATGCAATGCTGAATGGGCTCTGGGGCTGACAAAGGTACCTGGAGTATTATGGAGAGGCCTGGCTTTGCCTCAGTCTCTGTCTGCTCTCCCTACCTCACACTTTGTTGGGGAAGAGGACACATCTTAGTGATGCCAGCCACACAGATGGATATCATCCTGTGTATGCTTTCCCCAGGATGATGTTTAGTCCAGGGGTAGGTATACCAAAAACAAACTCACTGCTGTCGAGTCGTGTTTGACTCATAGCGACCCCTCCTTGGGTTTCCGAGGCAGTATCACTAAGGAAGTAGATTGCCCAACCTTCCTTCCAAGGAGTGGCTGGTGGGTTTGAACCGCCAGCCTTCTGGTTAGCAGTCAAATGCCTTAGGCACTATGCCACCAGAGCTCCCAGGGCTAGATATACTGCATAGGTATTAAATAATATCTGTTGATTGATTAGGAGCTCTGGTGGTATAGTGGTTAAGGCATTTGGTTGCTAACCAAAAGGTCAACAGTTCAAACCCACCAGCTGTTCCATGAAAGGAAAATGAGGCAGTGTACTTTCATAAAGATTTACAGCCTTGGAAACCCAATGGGGGTTGCTATGAGTCAGAATTAACTTGATGGCACTGAGTTTGATTTGATTTGGGTTGATTGATTATAACGCCTGTATAAGTATACATGCATGTACATGCACACATTCATTCACACACACACATACTCCATTCATCTCTTGTTCTCTCAGCAACCCAACAAGGTGTGTACCTGGGCCAAGGGGAGGGTGTCAGGAGGCAGTGTGGCTCAGGGCTCAGATGAGGTTGTATGCTGTATACTTTAGAAACCAAATGATACTATGCTTCTTTAGGCAGCATGTAAAGGTTGCTGAGGTTGTAGCCAGATAGCCTCTCCAAATGTCCAGTTGCTCCCAGCAGGGCCTACTGTCCAAGGGCCTAATGGTGGCACCAGGGCAGTGAGGAAGTGAGTGAGGCAGTGGAACCATTGTCCAGAGGAATCAGATGCGGCAGGTGTCTCCAGAGGACAGAAGCAGCCAAGCCAAGCAGCCAGGAGTTGTCCAGTTATTCAGTTGGTATGAGTAACTGTTGTGTGTGTGTAGGTGTGTGCATGCACATGTCTGTATCCAAGTGTGTACATGCACATGTGTGAGTACGAGAGTGTGTTTGTGAGTGTGTATGTGCTTGCATGTATGTGAGAGACAGAATTAGAACAGATGTGTCTGCCTCTCTTCTGTGCTTTTTATATACATTATTCTATGGAACTTTCATTCTGAGGCTGGAATTATTTTCCATACTTGAGATGAGCAAACTGGGATAACAAACATTAAGTGATTGCCCCAGGCTGTGTCTTGGGCTTTCACACTTGGCTCTGTTTATTACCAGTATCATTTGCTATCCGCTGGGCACACTGCCTCCAATCCAGGTAGCACAGCACCCTGACAAGCCCTGTGGGACATGGCCAGAAGTGGAACTTTGGTTCTTTGGCCTCAGGGAGGAGCACATAGGCCAGAGGAGCTGGTTGGAGCCAAGTGCATGCAGGGGTGGCTCCGGTAAGAGACGAGGTTGTGCAGTGAACTTTCTTTCAAATCTGCCCCCTCTTACAAGACTTTCTCTCTCCATATTGACACAACTGTCTACCCTGCTGCTTAATCCCAGTGACAGCAAGTCCCCCTGGACACCTTGTTCTTGATGTTTTCCTATATCCATCTGTCCCCCAGACCTGTCACATCTGGTTTGTCAACACTCTTGGACCATCCATTTATCTGCAACCCTCCCCCCACTGCCATGTGGCTCAGGCCATCATCAGCATCCCTGGGCTCATGGCCACTTCCGCATTGTGATCTTTCCTCCCCTCCCATTTTGCCATCAGCCCTACATGGCTCCCCATCATCCTCAGGATGGAATCCAGACTCTCACATGGCTCACAAAGCTCTGCATGGCTTTTCTCTGGCTTTTATCTCTAGTCTCGTCTTCTCCACCTGAACACTATACTTCAGCTACACTCTCCTCTACTTGTAGCTTCCACATCTCTGCACTGAAGGCCTTGGTGTGGTATGCTCCCTCTGCCTAGAATGCCATTCCCCAGAGACTGGCTTGGCTAATTCTTGTGTGATCTGCTAGGACTCATATCAGTCACCAGTTCTCTCACAACATCATCCACGTCATCCCGGCTGCATTAGCACTACCTTTGGGACTTCTTCAGCATCTCCATGTTCCACCACCAAGACCTGAGGCTGGTCACATGTCCTCATATATAACCAGATACTAAGCCACTCCTCGGAAGGAAGACTGGGCAATCTACTTCGTAGTGATACTGCCTTGGCAACTCAAGGAGGGGTTGCTATGAGTCGGGGCCAACTCGATGGCACATAACAACAACAAGAAGCCCCTCAGGGGCTGCAGCATGTCTGGCACAGAGTAGGCCCTCTGTGCCTGTGGAGTGAGTGGGTAGGTAAATGAGTGAGTAGGAGGGTGAGTGAGTGGGTGGGTGGGTGAGTGGGAGAGTAAGTGGCAGTTACAAAAGAACATGGACTAGAAAGATGAAACTAATTAGGGAGAGAACTGCTAGGGAAGGCAGCTGTGAGTTTGTAAGGAGCCTGGACAGGGACTAGGGAGCAGGAAACCTCCTGGCTGGCCACTCACCATTTGGTAGCATCTGGAGCTAAGCCTCTCTGAGACCTCCGGAGGTGGAGGAGTGAGGAGGGTGAGCTCACCAGTGGGCGTAAGATGCAGCCAGCTCATGTCAGCGGCTGCTGATGAACTCATCACACCCACCAGGATCCTTTCTCAGCACTGGTGGTGGGGGAGGGGTATGCTCTTTCTACTCCAAGTCTTGGGAATTTGCCTGGCTTCAGGATACAGTGGGAAGCATTGCCAGATTCCAAAGTTGGCCTGAGCAGGACTATCATTTTCTCAGGCTGAGGCAAGGGGAAAGGAGGTGGATTTTCCTTAACCTGGATGGATTTTAGAAGTTAGTTTCTTTTCCTTTGTTCCCAGTCTGTTACAATCCAAGGAAATCAGAGCAGCCAAGCAATATTTTCCCTCTTTGTCGCTACCTTATACAATTTTCCAAACCAGTTTAAACTAGAACCAGAACCTTTGCTTCAGCTTTTAAAAATATTTTAAAATTACATTGCAATGTAATTAATGTCACTGAATTGTACGTGTACAATGGTTACATATATATATATACATATGTATTATATAGGAGCTCTGGTAGCATAGTGCCTAAGACACTTGACTGCTAACCAGAAGGCTGGTGGTTCAAACCCACCAGCCACTCCTCGGAAGGAAGGTTGGACAATCCTACTTCCGTAGTGATACTGCCTTGTAAACCCAAGGAAGGGTCGCTATGAATTGGGGCCAACTCGACAGCAAATAACAACAACAACAACATGCATTATATGTTATATATAATGTATATAATATATATTATACATTACATATGTGTGTGTGCATGTATATAAAAGAGCTCTGATGGTGTAGGGAATAGGTCATTTGGCTGCTAACCAGAATGTCAGTGGTTCAAACCCACCAGCCTCTCCACAGAAGGAAGAGGGGACAATCTACTTCCATAAAGATGTACAGCCTAGGAAGCCCAATGGAGTCACTATGAGTTATAATCCGCTCAATAGTAGTGAGTTTGGTTTTTTAGAAGGCTGGTGGTTCATACCCACCAGCCACTCCTCGGAAGGAAGATGGGACAATCTACTTCCATAGTGATACTGCCTCGGAAACCCAAGGAGGGGTCGTTATGAGTCAGGGCCGACTCGATGGCACATAACAACAACAACATATTACATATATATTTACATATATGCATTTATATTCATATAGAGAGAAGGAGCTCTGGTGGCATAGTGCCTAAAGCATCTGACTGCTAACCAGAATGCTGGCAGTTTAAACCCATCAGCTACTACTCGGAAGGAAAACTGGGCTAAACACTCACAGAGATACTGCCTTGGAAACCCAAGGAGGTGCTGCTGTGAGTTGGGACCGACTCGATGGCAGTCTGTTTTTTGGGGTTATATATATAGAGAGAGAGAGAGACAGAGAGAGCGAGCTCTGGTGGCATAGTGCCTAAGGCATTTCACTGCTAACCAGGTTGATGGTTCAAACCTACCAGCCACTCTGCGTAAGGAACATGAGTCAATCTACTTCTGTAAAGATTTTCAGCCTCAGAAACCCAGTGGGGGTTGCCATGAGTTGGAATTGGCTCAGCGGCAGTGGGTTTGGTCTTGGTTTTGTATATATAAACCAAAAAAACCAAACCCACTGCCACTGAGTCGATTCCAACTCATAATAACCCCTTTTGGATTTCTGAGACAGTAAATCTTTATAGAAGTAGATTACCTGACCAGTCTTCCTTCCACAGAGTGGCTGGTGAGTTTGAACCATTAACCATATATGTGTGTGTGTGTGTGTATGTATATGTGTGTATATATGTGTATATATATATGTATGTGTATATATATGTATATATCAGGAGCTCTAGTAGCGTAGTACCTAAGGCACTTGACTGCTAACCACACAGTTCAAACCCACCAGCCACTCCTCAGAAGGAAGGTTGAGCCATCTACTTCCATAGTGATATTGCCTCGGAAGCCCAGGGAGGGGTCACTACGAGTCGGGTCCGACTCAACGGCATATAACAACAACAACAACATATGTATATATACATATGGTATGGGAGCTCTGGTGGCCTAAGGCCTAAGGTAGTGCCTAAGGCATTTGACAGCTAACAAGAAGGCCAGAGGCCAGAGTTTCAAACCCACCAGCCACTCCTCGGAAAGATTAGGCAATCTACTTCCATAGAGATACCTCTTCAGAAACTGAAGGAAGGGTCACTATGAGTCAAGTTGACTCGACAGCAATGAGTTTTCTGCATTATATATATTTCACCACAATTTTTTTTCTTTTCTTTTTTTTTAAGTTTT